CAGGGGTACTGTCCACCAGCCAGTGTTGTGGTGTCAGGGGTACTGTCCACCAGCCAGCCAGTGTTGTGGTGTCAGGGGTACTGTCCACCAGCCAGTGTTGTGGTGTCAGGGGTACTGTCCACCAGCCAGTGTTGTGGTGTCTGGGGTACTGTCCACCAGCCAGCCAGTGTTGTGGTGTCAGGGGTACTGTCCACCAGCCAGTTGTGGTGTCAGGGGTACTGTCCACCAGCCAGTGTTGTGGTGTCAGGGGTACTCTTGGAGGAGGAGGAGTGGCCACACAGGGAGCAGTAAACAAGCCAAGTGATACTTCCTCTCCAAGAGGTTCTTAGTAGATATTAAAGGTGCACTCCTTACCCCTCCACCACTCCCCCCCCCCCTCCACCTTCCCTCCAACACTCCTTCATCTTCTCTTCCTCCCTTCTTCCTCCCCCCTTCGTTATCCCTTCTTACCTATCCCTCACCCCCTTCGCTCCATACCTATTCTAGTATCATCGACAAATTTCGTGATGATGGTGCCGAGTCGAGTGTAAACATTGTTTATACAGGAAGTAAACAAGAGAAGCCCCAAAACACAGTCCTCCGGGACTCTACTTATAACAGTATCCAACTCTGTCTATACTAGAGACTGATCCCCCTCCCTATAATACCTTGCTACTCTATCTTTCTAATCAATCTTTCCACAGCTTCAATCATGCCTGAAGGAAGTGAGAGGAAGTTTGTTAACCTGTCTTTTTAGCAGTAAAGATGTCAGCAGACCTTACGTATAAAGATGTCAGCAGACCTTACGTATAAAGATGTCAGAGGACCTTACGTATAAAGATGTCAGAGGACCTTACGTATAAAGATGTCAGAGGACCTTACGTATAAAGATGTCAGCAGACCTTACGTATAAAAATGTCAGAGGACTTTACATATAAAGATGTCAGAGGACCTTACGTATAAAGATGTCAGAGGACCTTACGTATAAAAATGTCAGAGGACCTTACGTATAAAAATGTCAGAGGACTTTACATATAAAGATTACAACAGTTATAGCTCTGATAACGTTAGTCTTCCAATTAGGAAATGCCAAGTCACAGATAGTTTAAGACACTAGTAGTGTGTACGGTGTATGTAAGACTGGAGACGTTGCCGACCTGGAGAGCGTGCAGGGAATCACTACAGCCGGAATCCAACCCAGAAAATACCACAATTATTGGGACCCTTAAGACTCGTCAAATTGTAATTGGAGACAGGGAGGCGAGAGGTGGGCCACACCCCGCAATACACCTGGACAATATGGAGAGGGTATACTTCTGAACCTCCACACTCAGACAACACCAGCCCTAACCAGGGCCAGATTCACGAAGCAGTAACGCACGCACTTACGAACCTGTACATCTTTTCTCAATCTTTGGCGGCTTTGTTTACAATTATTAAACAGGTAGTGAGCACCGAAGCTCCAGGAGGCTGTTTATAACAATAACAACAGTTGTTTGGGAAGTTTTCATGCTTGTAAACTGTTTAATAAATGTAACCAAAGCCGTCAAAGATTGAGGAAAGATGTACACGTTGGTACGTACTTGCGTAACTGCTTCGTGAGTCTGGCCCCTGGAGGCGTGGTACACGCTACAATAACTCCCCTACCACATAACTATAAACAAACTACCCTCCCATTATATGTAAGGCGTATAACCATCACTTCTTTAAATTGTGTTCAGGACGGAACACGGAACTCATCCACATGTTAACTCCACCAACTTGGTTACAGAGCTGCTGGTGGAGCCAGTGGATCAGTTTCCGGATCGGTACAGCCCCTTCCACCTCCCCGGCCACACTGACGGTGAGTGCCTCACCTTCTCCTACCCTCCGGACACACTCATAACAGAGATGGAGGCCCTCAAGGTGGATAGTTACGTGCAGGAGCAGAACAGTTGTGCAGGTGATGGCAGGCTCTCAACCCACAACACTCTTCACAACCCGGAGAGGCACAGTGGGTTGTGGATGGCTGCCACCCACCAGTACTCTCACTAGTGTGATGGCTGCCACCCACCAGTACTCTCACTAGTGTGATGGCTGCCACCCACCAGTACTCTCACTAGTGGGATGGCTGCCACCACCAGTACTCTCACTAGTGGGATGGCTGCCACCCACCAGTACTCTCACTAGTGTGATGGCTGCCACCCACCAGTACTCTCACTAGTGTGATGGCTGCCACCCACCAGTACTCTCACTAGTGGGATGGCTGCCACCCACCAGTACTCTCACTAGTGTGATGGCTGCCACCCACCAGTACTCTCACTAGTGTGATGGCTGCCACCCACCAGTACTCTCACTAGTGGGATGGCTGCCACCCACCAGTACTCTCACTAGTGGGATGGCTGCCACCCACCAGTACTCTTACTAGTGTGATGGCTGCCACCCACCAGTACTCTCACTAGTGTGATGGCTGCCACCCACCAGTACTCTCACTAGTGGGATGGCTGCCACCCACCAGTACTCTCACTAGTGTGATGGCTGCCACCCACCAGTACTCTCACTAGTGTGATGGCTGCCACCCACCAGTACTCTCACTAGTGGGATGGCTGCCACCACCAGTACTCTCACTAGTGTGATGGCTGCCACCCACCAGTACTCTCACTAGTGTGATGGCTGCCACCCACCAGTACTCTCACTAGTGTGATGGCTGCCACCCACCAGTACTCTCACTAGTGGGATGGCTGCCACCACCAGTACTCTCACTAGTGTGATGGCTGCCACCCACCAGTACTCTCACTAGTGTGATGGCTGCCACCCACCAGTACTCTCACTAGTGGGATGGCTGCCACCACCAGTACTCTCACTAGTGGGATGGCTGCCACCCACCAGTACTCTCACTAGTGTGATGGCTGCCACCCACCAGTACTCTCACTAGTGTGATGGCTGCCACCCACCAGTACTCTCACTAGTGGGATGGCTGCCACCCACCAGTACTCTCACTAGTGTGATGGCTGCCACCCACCAGTACTCTCACTAGTGTGATGGCTGCCACCCACCAGTACTCTCACTAGTGGGATGGCTGCCACCCACCAGTACTCTCACTAGTGGGATGGCTGCCACCACCAGTACTCTCACTAGTGTGATGGCTGCCACCCACCAGTACTCTCACTTGTGTGATGGCTGCCACCCACCAGTACTCTCACTAGTGTGATGGCTGCCACCCACCAGTACTCTCACTAGTGGGATGGCTGCCACCACCAGTACTCTCACTAGTGTGATGGCTGCCACCCACCAGTACTCTCACTAGTGTGATGGCTGCCACCCACCAGTACTCTCACTAGTGGGATGGCTGCCACCACCAGTACTCTCACTAGTGGGATGGCTGCCACCCACCAGTACTCTCACTAGTGGGATGGCTGCCACCACCAGTACTCTCACTAGTGTGATGGCTGCCACCCACCAGTACTCTCACTAGTGGGATGGCTGCCACCCACCAGTACTCTCACTAGTGGGATGGCTGCCACCACCAGTACTCTCACTAGTGTGATGGCTGCCACCCACCAGTACTCTCACTAGTGGGATGGCTGCCACCACCAGTACTCTCACTAGTGTGATGGCTGCCACCCACCAGTACTCTCACTAGTGTGATGGCTGCCACCCACCAGTACTCTCACTAGTGGGATGGCTGCCACCCACCAGTACTCTCACTAGTGTGATGGCTGCCACCCACCAGTACTCTCACTAGTGGGATGGCTGCCACCACTAGTACTCTCACTAGTGTGATGGCTGCCACCCACCAGTACTCTCACTAGTGTGATGGCTGCCACCCACCAGTACTCTCACTAGTGTGATGGCTGCCACCCACCAGTACTCTCACTAGTGTGATGGCTGCCATCCACCAGTACTCTCACTAGTGTGATGGCTGCCACCCACCAGTACTCTCACTAGTGTGATGGCTGCCACCCACCAGTACTCTCACTAGTGGGATGGCTGCCACCCACCAGTACTCTCACTAGTGTGATGGCTGCCACCCACCAGTACTCTCACTAGTGTGATGGCTGCCACCCACCAGTACTCTCACTAGTGTGATGGCTGCCACCCACCAGTACTCTCACTAGTGGGATGGCTGCCACCCACCAGTACTCTCACTAGTGGGATGGCTGCCACCCACCAGTACTCTCACGAGTGGGATGGCTGCCACCACCAGTACTCTCACTAGTGTGATGGCTGCCACCCACCAGTACTCTCACTAGTGTGATGGCTGCCACCCACCAGTACTCTCACTAGTGGGATGGCTGCCACCCACCAGTACTCTCACTAGTGGGATGGCTGCCACCCACCAGTACTCTCACTAGTGGGATGGCTGCCACCACCAGTACTCTCACTAGTGTGATGGCTGCCACCACCAGTACTCTCACTAGTGTGATGGCTGCCACCCACCAGTACTCTCACTAGTGGGATGGCTGCCACCCACCAGTACTCTCACTAGTGGGATGGCTGCCACCCACCAGTACTCTCACTAGTGGGATGGCTGCCACCCACCAGTACTCTCACTAGTGGGATGGCTGCCACCCACCAGTACTTTAACAGGTTTCAAGAATAGATTGGATAGGTACACGGGGTGAGAGGGGGCGGGGTGAGAGGGGGCGGGGAGAGTGGGGGGAGGGGGATGGGAGGGTGCAGGAGGGGTGCAGAGTGTGGAAGAGGAGACTGTACGAGTCTAGTCATATATACTCTCCCTGCACAATTGAGTTTACCAACCTCCCCAGTAAGACGACACAGTTTACCCTGACCACAACAAGACGACACAGTTTACAATACCCACAAGACGTCACAGTTTACCAACCTCCCCAGTAAGACGACACAGTTTACAATACCCACAACAAGACGACACAGTTTACAATACCCACAAGACGTCACAGTTTACCAACCTCCCCAGTAAGACGACACAGTTTACAATACCCACAACAAGACGACACAGTTTACAATACCCACAAGACGACACAGTTTACAATACCCACAACAAGACAAGGTACACTCACCTTTCAACAAACTTGTTAAAGAGGTCCCCTCTTAAATGCGTAAATATTTCTTCTATGTAAGGCTGCAAGAGAACAAGTTAAACGTTAATATGGCGCCAAACATGCTCCCACAGGTGTACACACGACACATGTGTACCCGTCTGCTACACGTGTACACACGACACATGTGTACCCGCCTGCCACACGTGTACACATGACACACGTGTACCCGCCTGCCACACGTGTACACACGACACATGTGTACCCGCCTGCTACACGTGTACACACGACACACGTGTACCCGCCTGCCACACGTGTACACACGACACATGTGTACCCGCCTGCCACACGTGTACACGACACACGTGTACCCGCCAGCCACACGTGTACACGACACACATGTACCCGCCTGCCACACGTGTACACATGACACACGTGTACCCGCCACACGTGGTGATACATATAAGCCATAACCTTCCACTAACCTATATAACATATATCACAATTTCACACTTACAATAATCAACTTATTAACCTCAGGTCTGACACTACCTTACCTAATAAGCCTAGTTATAAACTACACCAAAGCACCGTACTTAACGAGCCGTTACGGTGCAAGTACTCCAGCAACGGTGACCCAACACTCACAGTAACTTACCTCAAATAAATCGGTAGGAACTTCGTTTTTCGTTAGATGCTTTTGTACAAAGGCAACGGATTCTTTGTTGTAGGCCTGTGGGAGAGAAGGTTAGGTTAGGCCTTGGACACACGACGCTCCTTCATACTAAACTACCGCTGGTGTGACGCAGCTCCACCACCACACTCTACACGTGTGTGTGACGCAGCTCCACCACACTCTACACGTGTGTGTGACGCAGCTCCACCACACTCTACACGTGTGACGCAGCTCCACCACACTCTACACGTGTGACGCAGCTCCACCACACTCTACGTGTGACGCAGCTCCACCACACTCTACAGGTGTGTGTGACGCAGCTCCACCACACTCTACAGGTGTGTGTGTGTGACGCAGCTCCACCACACTCTACACGTGTGACGCAGCTCCACCACCACACTCTACACGTGTGACGCAGCTCCACCACACACTACAGGTGTGACGCAGCTCCACCACACTCTACACGTGTGTGTGACGCAGCTCCACCACACTCTACACGTGTGTGTGACGCAGCTCCACCACACTCTACACGTGTGTGTGACGCAGCTCCACCACACTCTACACGTGTGTGTGACGCAGCTCCACCACACTCTACACGTGTGTGTGACGCAGCTCCACCACACTCTACACGTGTGTGTGACGCAGCTCCACCACACTCTACACGTGTGTGTGACGCAGCTCCACCACACTCTACATGTGTGTGTGACGCAGCTCCACCACACTCTACACGTGTGACGCAGCTCCACCACACTCTACACGTGTGTGTGACGCAGCTCCACCACACTCTACATGTGTGTGTGACGCAGCTCCACCACACTCTACACGTGTGACGCAGCTCCACCACACTCTACACGTGTGTGTGACGCAGCTCCACCACACTCTACAGGTGTGTGTGACGCAGCTCCACCACACTCTACAGGTGTGTGTGACGCAGCTCCACCACACTCTACAGGTGTGACGCAGCTCCACCACACTCTACAGGTGTGACGCAGCTCCACCACACTCTACAGGTGTGTGTGACGCAGCTCCACCACACTCTACAGGTGTGTGTGACGCAGCTCCACCACACTCTACAGGTGTGACGCAGCTCCACCACACTCTACAGGTGTGTGTGTGTGACGCAGCTCCACCACACTCTACAGGTGTGTGTGTGTGTGACGCAGCTCCGCCACACTCTACAGGTGTGACGCAGCTCCACCACACTCCACACCCTCCCCTCGTGGCCTCCAGAGACACGCAGACACTCCATACCCTCCCCTCGCGGCCTCCAGACACACGCAGACACTCCACACCCTCCCCTCGTGGCCTCCAGAGACACGCAGACACTCCACACCCTCCCCTCGCGGCCTCCAGACACACGCAGACACTCCACACCCTCCCCTCGTGGCCTCCAGAGACACGCAGACACTCCACACCCTCCCCTCGCGGCCTCCAGAGACACAGACACTCCACACCCTCCCCTCGTGGCCTCCAGAGACACGCAGACACTCCACACCCTCCCCTCGCGGCCTCCAGAGACACGCAGACACTCCACACCCTCCCCTCGCGGCCTCCAGAGACACGCAGACACTCCACACCCTTCCCTCGCGGCCTCCAGAGACACGCAGACACTCCACACCCTCCCCTCGCGGCCTCCAGAGACACGCAGACACTCCACACCCTCCCCTCGCGGCCTCCAGAGACACGCAGACACTCCACACCCTCCCCTCGTGGCCTCCAGGGACACGCAGACACTCCACACCCTCCCCTCGTGGCCTCCAGAGACACGCAGACACTCCACACCCTCCCCTCGCGGCCTCCAGAGACACGCATACACTCCACACCCTCCCCTCGCGGCCTCCAGAGACACGCAGACACTCCACACCCTCCCCTCGCGGCCTCCAGAGACACGCAGACACTCCACACCCTCCCCTCGCGGCCTCCAGAGACACGCAGACACTCCACACCCTCCCCTCGTGGCCTCCAGAGACACGCAGACACTCCACACCCTCCCCTCGCGGCCTCCAGGGACACGCGGAGGGACAGGGAGACTGAGGAGATGAGAGAGTGAGGGACAGGAAGACTGAGATGAGTGAGGGGACAGGAAGACTGAGGAGATGAGTGAGTGAGGGACACCTGGTTGATACCTGGTTGATGGGGTTCTGGGAGTTGTTCTACTCCCCAAGCCCGGCCCGAGGCCAGGCTTGACTTGTGAGAGTTTGGTCCACCAGGCTGTTGCTTGGAGCGGCCCGCAGGCCCAAATACCCACCACAGCCCGGTTGATCCGGAACTTCTCTTAGAAAACAGTCCAGTTTTCTCTTGAAGATGTCCACGGTTGTTCCGGCAATATTTCTTATAGTCGCTGGGAAGACGTTGAACAACCGCTGACCTCTGATGTTTATACAGTGTTCTCTGATTGTGCCTATGACACCTCTGCTCTTCACTGGTTCAATCTTGCATTTTCTTCCATATCGTTCACTCCAGTACGTTGTTATTTTACTGTGTAGATTTGGGACCTGACCCTCCAGTATTTTCCATGTGTATAATTTTTGGTATCTCTCTCGTCTCCTTTCTAGTGAGTACATTTGGAGAGCTTTGAGACGATCCCAATACATATCCTTTATTGATCTCCAAATCCCAATGCATTTCCGTTATTTTTTCCTTCTGTACAGTCGTCTGCGTTCTCTTTCTAGAGTGGTCCTCTTTCTGCCCCTCCTCACAGGCACGTGCTTCAAGCAGACCTTGTAAGCTTCAGCTGTCAGTTGATCTATTCCCTGTGTGGGAGTTTTGTCGCTTAAGACCGTCTCCCATTGAATGGTTGCAAGGTCTACATTTATTTTTTTCCCAGTCGATCCTCTTATTGTTGAAATTGAATTGATTGAATATCCCTTCTCGCTTGTTGGGTCTCTTAGACCTACTACCGTTATTTATGCTAGTTCACACTTCAATGAGCTTATGGTCTGAGTATGAAGTATCTGAGACTGTAATGTCTCTGATTAGTTCATCATTGTTTGTGAATAACAAGTCTAGTGTGTTTTCGTTCCTAGTTGGTTCTGTAATTTGTTGACTGAGCGAGAATTTGTCACAGAATCTCAAAAGTTCTCTAACCTGTGGTTGGTTATTTCCCGGGTCATTCCCTGCTATGATATTTGTGTTTGCCGTTCTCCATCTTAGACTTGGTAAATTGAAATCTCCGAGGAAGATAATATCTGGAGCTGGGTTTGCTAGGTTGTCAAGTATGTTCTCTATTTTGTGCATCTGCTCTGTGAATTCCTCAACCGTTGTATCTGGCGGTTTATATATTAAAATAATAATTAGGTTTAGTTTCTCTACCTTAATTCCAAGTACCTCTACCACCTCATTAGTTGAGTTTAGTAGTTCTGTGCATACCAGGTCTTCTTTAATATACAGACCTACTCCTCCATTTGACCTAGTTTCTCTATCACATCTATATAAATTATAATTTGGAATCCAGATTTCACCATCCATGTAATCTTTTGTATGAGTTTCCGTGAATGCCCCAAATATTGAGTTTGACTCTAATAGAAGGCCATTTATGAACTTAACTATATTTCTTGACTTTGGCTTTAAACCTTGAATGTTTGCAAATATGAATGATTGTCCATATTGTGTGTAACTTCTGGAAGGTTTTGGTAGTTCTCCCTCCTCTCTACCCTGACCCAGGGTGTGTTGTTGTGGCAATGGTTTGTCCAGTTTTGGAAGTGATACTGGGGAGTGTGGTAGTCTCTGTGTGGTTGGGGGGTGTAGTATGTGTGGGCTTGATGACGTCCAGTCTTGAGCATTTCCCCCTCTCCGTCCGTACTCCTGCCACGTTTCTGCCTGTCTGTTTCTCCCTCTGTTTGTACCTGCCTCTAAAAAAATTTCAGGGCTATTATATTGGACTTCCTCTCTTATATGGCGCTGTGTACCTCTGACGTGGAAATCGGGGCAATGAAGATCGTAGCATTTCCTCTCATTAACTGAGAGTGTGCATAGCTTAGGGTGAAAATATCTACACTCTGTATCAAAACGACATCTGCCTTTCCCTAACCAGTTTCGGCATTTCCGTGGGTGCATGAATGAGCATTCCGTGCCTCTGGGCCCATATCTACACTGTCCTTTTGCATAATACCAGCAAATATTTTCATTTGTGATTGTATTATTCTTGTTTGTACCCGTGCACGACTTGGCTACCTCTGTGTTTTTGGTCGAATCTTTCTCTTTCCGGAATTCATTCTCGGTATCTCGGTATTTGGTTGAATCTTTCTCTTTCCGGAATTCATTCTCGGAATCTCGGTATTTGGTTGAATCTTTCTCTTTCCGGAATTCATTCTCGGTATCTCGGTATTTGGTTGAATCTTTCTCTTTCCGGAATTCATTCTCGGTATCTCGGTATTTGGTTGAATCTTTCTCCTTGTTGCTTTCGTCTTTCTCATTTGTGTTCTCATTCGTCTCATTTTTTCTCTCCTTATTCATATCACCAGTGTGCTCTACAATATTGCCTTCATTTTTGTGTACCTCGACACTATACCCTTCTACATTGCTACTTTGACTCTCTAAATTCTCAGTCCCTGGGTTGTGTTCAGAGTTCGTTGCTGTCTTTATATACTCTGCAGATATTTCTGGTAGTTTTTGTGTTAATTGTAGCCTGTGTACTTCAGGAATGTTATTCATTAGTTTGGTGATGTTTTCCCACATCTGTCTGTCTCTTTGACAGAGGACAGGAAGACTGAGGAGATGAGTGAGATAGGGACAGGAAGACTGAGGAGATGAGTGAAGGAGGGACAGGAAGACTGAGGAGATGAGTGAGTGAGTGAGGGGACAGGAAGACAGGAAGTGAGTGAGGGGACAGGAGGAAGACTGAGGAGATGAGTGAGTGAGGGACAGGAAGACTGAGGAGATGAGTGAGAGAGGACAGGAAGACTGAGGAGATGAGTGAGAGAGGGACAGGAAGACTGAGGAGATGAGTGAAGGAGGGACAGGAAGACTGAGGAGATGAGTGAGTGAGGGACAGGAAGACTGAGGAGATGAGTGAGGGACAGGAAGACTGAGGAGATGAGAGAGAGAGGGACAGGAAGACTGAGGAGATGAGTGAGTGAGGGACAGGAAGACGGAGGAGATGAGTGAGTGAGGGACAGGAAGACTGAGGAGATGAGTGAGTGAGGGACAGGAAGACTGAGGAGATGAGTGAAGGAGGGACAGGAAGACTGAGGAGATGAGTGAGAGAGGGACAGGAAGACTGAGGAGATGAGTGAAGGAGGGACAGGAAGACTGAGGAGATGAGTGAGAGAGGGACAAGAAGACTGAGGAGATGAGTGAAGGAGGGACAGGAAGACTGAGGAGATGAGTGAGTGAGGGACAGGAAGACTGAGGAGATGAGTGAGGGACAAGAAGACTGAGGAGATGAGAGAGAGAGGGACAGGAAGACTGAGGAGATGAGTGAGTGAGGGACAGGAAGACTGAGGAGATGAGTGAGTGAGGGACAGGAAGACTGAGGAGATGAGTGAGTGAGGGACAGGAAGACTGAAGAGATGAGTGAGTGAGGGACAGGAAGACTGAGGAGATGAGTGAAGGAGGGACAGGAAGACTGAGGAGATGAGTGAAGGAGGGACAGGAAGACTGAGGAGATGAGTGAAGGAGGTACAGGAAGACTGAGGAGATGAGTGAGAGAGGGACAGGAAGACTGAGGAGATGAGTGAAGGAGGGACAGGAAGACTGAGGAGATGAGTGAGAGAGGGACAGGAAGACTGAGGAGATGAGTGAAGGAGGGACAGGAATACTGAGGAGATGAGTGAAGGAGGGACAGGAAGACTGAGGAGATGAGTGAGAGAGGGACAGGAAGACTGAGGAGATGAGTGAGAGAGGGACAGGAAGACTGAGGAGATGAGTGAAGGAGGGACAGGAATACTGAGGAGATGAGTGAAGGAGGGACAGGAAGACTGAGGAGATGAGTGAGAGAGGGACAGGAAGACTGAGGAGATGAGTGAGTGAGGGACAGGAAGACTGAGGAGATGAGTGAGGGACAGGAAGACTGAGGAGATGAGAGAGAGAGGGACAGGAAGACTGAGGAGATGAGTGAGTGAGGGACAGGAAGACTGAGGAGATGAGTGAGTGAGGGACAGGAAGACTGAGGAGATGAGTGAGTGAGTGAGGGGACAGGAAGACAGGAAGTGAGTGAGGGGACAGGGGTGGGAACACTCACGTGGGTGTTGGATAACAGTTCCTTCATGATGAAGTTATCGTAGACTTCTCTGGCGACTTTTCTTCTCTCTTCCTTATTCTCTATCTTCTCGTACGCCTTGATCTGTAACACAACAACAACACTTATGTCATCTGCAACACAACAACACCTAAATAACAACAAAACATTCTAACCAGTCTTACTTTACCTGCAACACAAATTACATTAACACCTGTAACAGACTCTGCAACACCCACTCTCAACACCTGTAACAGACTCTGCAACACCCACTCTCAACACCTGTAACAGACTCTGCAACACCCACTCTCAACACCTGTAACAGACTCTGCAACACCCACTCTCAACACCTGTAACAGACTCTGCAACACCCACTCTCAACACCTGTAACAGACTCTGCAACACCCACTCTCAACACCTGTAACAGACTCTGCAACACCCACTCTCAACACCTGTACCATACCCTGCAACACCCACTCTCAACACCTGTACCAGACCCTGCAACACCCACTCTCAACACCTGTACCATACCCTGCAACACCCACTCTCAACACCTGTAACAGACTCTGCAACACCCACTCTCAACACCTGTAACAGACTCTGCAACACCCACTCTCAACACCTGTAACAGACTCTGCAACACCCACTCTCAACACCTGTAACAGACTCTGCAACACCCACTCTCAACACCTGTAACAGACTCTGCAACACCCACTCTCAACACCTGTACCATACCCTGCAACACCCACTCTCAACACCTGTAACAGACTCTGCAACACCCACTCTCAACACCTGTACCAGACCCTGCAACACCCACTCTCAACACCTGTAACAGACCCTGCAACACCCACTCTCAACACCTGTACCATACCCTGCAACACCCACTTTCAACACCTGTAACAGACCCTGCAACACCCACTCTCAACACCTGTAACAAACTCTGCAAACACCCACTCTCAACACCTGTACCATACCCTGCAACACCCACTCTCAACACCTGTAACAGACCCTGCAACACCCACTCTCAACACCTGTAACAGACTCTGCAACACCCACTCTCAACACCTGTAACAGACTCTGCAACACCCACTCTCAACACCTGTACCAGACCCTGCAACACCCACTCTCAACACCTGTACCAGACCCTGCAACACCCACTCTCAACACCTGTAACACCCACTCTCAACACCTGTACCAGACCCTGCAACACCCACTCTCAACACCTGTAACAGACTCTGCAACACCCACTCTCAACACCTGTACCATACCCTGCAACACCCACTCTCAACACCTGTAACAGACTCTGCAACACCCACTCTCAACACCTGTACCAGACCCTGCAACACCCACTCTCAACACCTGTAACACCCACTCTCAACACCTGTACCAGACCCTGCAACACCCACTCTCAACACCTGTACCAGACTCTGCAACACCCACTCTCAACACCTGTAACAGACTCTGCAACACCCACTCTCAACACCTGTACCAGACCCTGCAACACCCACTCTCAACACCTGTAACACCCACTCTCAACACCTGTAACACCCACTCTCAACACCTGTAACAGACTCTGCAGGTATACTCTAGGTATGCTGCGAGTATACCCCAGGTATGCTGCGGGTATACCCTAGGTATACTGCGGGTATACTCCAGGTATACCGCGGGTATACTCCAGGTATACCGCGGGTATACTCCAGGTATGCTGCGGGTATACTCCAGGTATGCTGCGGGTATACTCCAGGTATACCGCGGGTATACTCCAGGTATGCTGCGGGTATACTCCAGGTATACCGCGGGTATACTCCAGGTATGCTGCGGGTATACTCCAGGTATGCTGCGGGTATACTCCAGGTATGCTGCGGGTATACTCCGGGTATGCTGCGGGTATGCTGCGGGTATACTCCAGGTATGCTGCGGGTATACTCCAGGTATGCTGCGGGTATACCCCAGGTATGCTGCGGGTATCCTCCAGGTATGCTGCGGGTATACCCCAGGTATGCTGCGGGTATACTCCAGGTATGCTGCGGGTATACTCCAGGTATGCTGCGGGTATACTCCAGGTATGCTGCGGGTATACTCCAGGTATGCTGCGGGTATACCCCAGGTATGCTGCGGGTATACCCCAGGTATGCTGCGGGTATACTCCAGGTATGCTGCGGGTATACTCCAGGTATGCTGCGGGTATACTCCAGGTATGCTGCGGGTATACTCCAGGTATGCTGCGGGTATACTCCAGGTATGCTGCGGGTATACTCCAGGTATGCTGCGGGTATACTCCGGGTATACTCCAGGTATGCTGCGGGTATACTCCAGGTATGCTGCGGGTATACTCCGGGTATACTCCAGGTATGCTGCGGGTATACTCCAGGTATGCTGCGGGTATACTCCAGGTATGCTGCGGGTATGCTGCGGGTATACTCCTGCGGGTATACTCCGGGTATACTCCAGGTATGCTGCGGGTATACTCCAGGTATGCTGCGGGTATACTCCAGGTATGCTGCGGGTATACTCCGGGTAGGTATGCTGCGGGTATACTCCAGGGCTATACTCCAGGTATGCTGCGGGTATACTCCAGGTATGCTGCGGGTATACTCCGGGTATACTCCAGGCTATACTCCAGGTATGCTGCGGGTATACTCCAGGTATACTCCAGGTATGCTGCGGGTATACTCCAGGTATGCTGCGGGTATACTCCAGGTATGCTGCGGGTATACTCCAGGTATGCTGCGGGTATACTCCAGGTATACTCCAGGGTATACTCCAGGTATGCTGCGGGTATACTCCAGGTATGCTGCGGGTATACTCCAGGTATGCTGCGGGTATACTCCAGGTATGCTGCGGGTATACTCCAGGTATGCTGCGGGTATACTCCAGGTATGCTGCGGGTATACTCCAGGTATGCTGCGGGTATACTCCAGGTATGCTGCGGGTATACTCCATACTCCAGGTATGCTGCGGGTATACTCCAGGTATGCTGCGGGTATACTCCAGGTATGCTGCGGGTATACTCCAGGTATGCTCCGGGTATACTCCAGGTATGCTCCGGGGTATACTCCAGGTATGCTGCGGGTATACTCCAGGTATGCTGCGGGTATACTCCAGGTATGCTGCGGGTATACTCCAGGTATGCTCTAGGTATACTCCAGGTATGCTGCGGGTATACTCCAGGTATGCTGCGGGTATATGCTCCAGGTATGCTGCGGGTATACTCCAGGTATGCTGCGGGTATACTCCAGGTATACTCCAGGTATGCTGCGGGTATACTCCAGGTATGCTGCGGGTATACTCCAGGTATGCTGCGGGTATACCCCAGGTATGCTGCGGGTATACTCCAGGTATGCTGCGGGTATACTCCAGGTATGCTGCGGGTATACTCCAGGTATGCTGCGGGTATACTCCAGGTATGCTGCGGGTATACTCCAGGTATGCTGCGGGTATACCCCAGGTATATCCTCCAGGTATGCTGCGGGTATACCCCAGGTATGCTGCGGGTATACTCCAGGTATGCTGCGGGTATACTCCAGGTATGCTGCGGGTATACTCCAGGTATGCTGCGGGTATACCCCAGGTATGCTGCGGGTATACTCCAGGTATGCTGCGGGTATACTCCAGGTATGCTGCGGGTATACTCCAGGTATGCTGCGGGTATACTCCAGGTATGCTGCGGGTATACTCCAGGTATGCTGCGGGTATACTCCAGGTATGCTGCGGGTATACTCCAGGTATGCTGCGGGTATACTCCAGGTATGCTGCGGGTATACTCCGGGTATACTCCAGGTATGCTGCGGGTATACTCCAGGTATGCTGCGGGTATACTCCAGGTATGCTGCGGGTATACTCCGGGTATACTCCAGGTATGCTGCGGGTATACTCCAGGTATGCTGCGGGTATACTCGGGTATGCTCCAGGAATGCTGCGGGTATACTCCAGGTATGCTGCGGGTATACTTCGGGTATAATGCAAGTAACATATTCCGATATATTTACCTTTCATTAACATTGCTTATTCATCATCATTTGTTCAATCTAAATTCTCCAGATGACCTTTGCATCTCATTAATCCTTTGTTGATACAAAGGCACAATTGTATTACTGAATTAGTAGATGTTATATTGTTGATCATCAGAGGTTGATACTGTTCCAGAGAGCTCGTCTCCCCCCCCCCCCCCACACCTGCAGCAGTGTTGGTCTGTAACACCAGGCTGGGTCTGGTACCCACCACACCTGCAGCAGTGTTGGTCTGTAACACCAGGCTGGGTCTGGTACCCACCACACCTGCAGCAGTGTTGGTCTGTAACACCAGGCTGGGTCTGGTACCCACCACACCTGCAGCAGTGTTGGTCTGTAACACCAGGCTGGGTCTGGTACCCACCACACCTGCAGCAGTGTTGGTCTGTAACACCAGGCTGGGTCTGGTACCCACCACACCATCACTGTAGTGACGCACACCTCATTATCCCTGACGCACACGTCACCATCACTGACGCACAGGTCACCATCACTGACGCACAGGTCACCATCCCTGACGCACACGTCACCATCATTGACGCACACGTCACTATCATTGACGCACACGTCACCATCATTGACGCACAGGTCACCATCACTGACGCACAGGTACCATCACTGACGCACACGTCACCATCCCTGACGCACACGTCACCATCCCTGACGCACACGTCACCATCCCTGACGCACACGTCACCATCCCTGACGCACACGTCACCATCCCTGACGCACACGTCACCATCCCTGACGCACACGTCACCATCATTGACGCACAGGTCACCATCACTGACGCACACGTCACCATCACTGACGCACAGGTCACCATCACTGACGCACAGGTCACCATCACTGACGCACACGTCACCATCATTGACGCACAGGTCACCATCACTGACGCACACGTCACCATCATTGACGCACAGGTCACCATCCCTGACGCACACGTCACCATCATTGACGCACAGGTCACCATCACTGACGCACACGTCACCATCCCTGACGCACACGTCACCATCATTGACGCACACGTCACTATCATTGACGCACACGTCACCATCATTGACGCACAGGTCACCATCACTGACGCACAGGTCA